TGCTACAACCCCCATGTCGCTTGCTGAATCCCAAATCCTTCAGTTTTTTTAAGCCATGTAAAAAGCATGTGATCAGTTAAAGAAAGGTTTGTCTTTTATGTTTAATCTGATTATTTCAGTCTGTATTATTGCCTTTGTTAAGATCTCTGACTCATTGGTGACTAATAATTGTGATAGTAGGAACCTGTGTCTCTTCTATGACTTTAACAGAAGCTGTATTATTGCTTTACCTTTTGCATTAATAATGTTGATGGCTTGAGCTAATATACTCTGTCTTTAATTTCTTTTTCTGTTGCTAGCATTAGCTAGCATTCCATTAAGTGTGAAGAGAGTAGAATCCTTGCCTTGTTCCTACCCTTAAAAAATATTAAACCTTTTAGGTATAATGTTAGTTGTAGGATTTTTTTTTAAGAGAGAGATTTTTATTGAACTCCCACATAATAACTGCGAATTCATGCACGTACTGGAGGGACAGACAGAGACAGAAAGCGACAAGTCACCCCCTCCCTAAGGGGGGATGGCCATGCCACAGTCCCTTTACTCCATTCTCCTCTTGGGATTTAAAATATGGGACTTTTTTATTATTACTATTTTAAAAATTTTGCCAGAGGGCATGCATGCTCACCAAAGAGAGAGAGAAAGCCAGAAAGCACCCACTATGGGGCATGATCATGTTGCAATCCCCTCTTCTCCAGCTCTCCATCACATCAGAATTCTGAGTATGCACATGTCCCACGTGAAGCTACTAAGCTACTAGTAACATTCATTCCAACTTCTTTCTCTTTCTGTCTCTTTCTCTCTGGTGAGTGCAGGCACCCTAAAGAAAAAAGAAAAAATTTGTAACTCATAACAGTTTCGTGATGTCTGTTTTATAGTCCTTAGTAAATAATCCCAACATCTGATTCATCTTTTCCATTTGTGTTCGCTGATTATATTTTCTTGTTCATAATTTTTTCTAGTTTTGGGTATCATGACTTACTTTGATTGTATACTGGATATTTTGGTTATTATTTTGGGAGATTCTTGTTTATATTTAAATTTTCTGTTAGTGCATATGACTGCTCTCTTTATTTTTTAATGTACAGGTTTTTCCCTGCCTTTTGTGTGTGTGTGTGTGTGGGGGGGGGTTTGATTTCCAATGATGGTTATGTATTCAGAGTCCCAGAAATGGTATTTTGGTCTATTTCATTTTCTGAAGCTGCTGCAATTCCAGCTCATTTCCTGTTGGTGCTGCCTGGAGCTGATGGAAGGTGCCTGTGTGAATTTTGTGATGTTCTTATTCCCCCATAGGGTTCTGTTCAGAAGCAGCTGGGAGTGAATCTTTTTGTATCACTGGGTGGAAGACAGAGGCATGTGAGGCTCTTATTTTCTTCTTACCTCAGATTAGACTGCTGGTGCCCTAGACATGAAGGAGGGGCTGGCAGGTGATACTATCAGTGGATCATAATATCACCTTGGGCTGTGAAGCAGGAGCTGGGAAAGTCAGAGGCTTCATTCTCTGCACTGTGGGTAATACTGCCTGCCATCTCTGATTGTTGGAGTGGAGATTGGGTTAGTCTGAAGCTTTGTTCCTCTGGGGCTACCCCCTGTAGTATGGCCTAGGACTTTCTTGATCTGTCATTTTAGCCTGAACCAAGTACCCTATGGCACAAATTGTAGAGCAAATGTTAGGGTTTCCCACTAGGTCTCTGAGGGATTTACATTGTTCAGAGAACACTGACCACCCTCCACCCCCCTTTATCCTATTGGCAATTCTGGATTGCAGTCCTTTCTGGTGCCCATTTCTTGGAGTTTATAGAAAATAAACAGATAATCCAAGGGACTTGCCATATTGTTGTTCCTCAAGTCGTAAGGTTCATAGCTAGTTCACCATTTCCCTCTGAGGTTTTGAAGTTCTATTGTTGACCAATAGATAATTTACAGGGAATTTAACTATATTTAGAAGGAGAAGCAGGGAAACACCACCTCATTGCAGAACCAAAAGTCTTTTTTAATTGTTTTGTTTTTTAAGGATGTGAATCACTATAAATACTACCAGCCATTCTTTTCTTCTATTTTTTTTTTTTAGAATTATTTATTCTATTTTTTTAATTCTTTAATTTGACCAGAGACAGGAGAGGGGGAGAGAGAGAAAGTGAGAAACTAAGCTGCTGGGTCCAAGACTCAAACTACCATTGGCCATGTGTGAGTTCAGTACCTTAACATTCTTTTTTATGTATTTTTATTATTATTATTAAAGAAAACAGGGCTACTTTATTAAAATACTGGGTTTATTGCACATATATATTTTTGTCTCCCCACCATTTCCATGTCTTACCACCACTACTACTGTGTCCTATCATAACATACCATACATATTTAAAACCACGCAAAGAGTGGAGTTCCATCTTTCCATATTTAAAAACTAAAAAGACAATTTGGACAACACATTCTCGACAGCTTGGTCAGCATTTATCAAATACAAAAAAAATAGGGAAAGTTCTCAGTCTGCATTATAAGAAGGACAGCCAGATATCAACTGTTACAGAAATGAAATAAGACGGAAAATTTTAACACTGTTTAAACTATTTTCTTAAAGAGACTTCCTCCTCCACTGCCAGAGATCTTGAATAGTCTCCTGGTCAGTCATCTGGAAATAATTCTTCATGTAATTGATAAACTTGGCTTCTACTTTGGGAAGAGAACCACATGTTTTTCTACCTGTGTGCATTTTTGCTTTAATGTCATCTACAGAATTAGGTCCTTTTGGTGTCTTAGGAGTTTTTCCCTGTTTTTGTTTGTTTGTTTTTTATGATTATTGACCATTTGATCTTTTTATTTCCTTTTCTTTTCTTGGAGAGGTTTTTGCTACAGGGCATGTATGCTCGCCAGAAAGACAGAGAGAGACATAAAGACAAGAAGCGAGAAATCACCCCCCAGGGGGGATGGCCATGCCACAATCCCTTCTCCTCCTTTCTCCTCTCGGGATCTTGGGTGCTCATGCACATGTGCCCAGCATGAATTTAAGCCATCGGGTCCGGGACTCGAACTGTGGTCAGCTACGTGGGAGTCCAGCAACATAGCCATTACATTAACTGCTGGTCCTGACCACTTGATCTTGATGTTGATGGTTTTGAGTCTTTTCTATTCTGGTTTGATTTTTGAGCATTTTTGCCAGGGATATCTCATACAGATTTCTTCACTGGAGCTTTTCCTTCTGTTTCCTCATCTTCAACATCATTATCTTTGTCATCGTCATCATCTTCATCAGCAGCAAATTTTATTTTTTTCTGTGGAATCTTGCTGCCACTTCCAGGGACATATCACTTTCCAGATATACTTAGCGAGTTTCACATCCTCCTCCTCTTTTTTTTTTTTATGAAAGGTTTTGCTATAGGGTGCATGTGCTTGCCAGAAAGACAGAGACAGAGGGACAGAAAGCAAGAAATCACTCCCCAGGAGGGATAGCCACGCCACAATCACTTCTCCTCCATTCTCCTCTGGGGATCTTGGGTACGCACGCACATGTGCCCAGTGTGAGTTTAAGCCACTGGGTCTGGGACTTTAACTGCAGTCGACTACATGGGAGTCCAGCGACATAACCATTATGCCACCTGCTGGGCCCGTCAGCCTCCTCTTCTTCTGACTCTTCATCTTCCTCTAGAGCTAAGTGCTGTCCACTAACATGTACAGGCCCTGAACCATACTTCCACCGTGAGACCACAGGTGGTATTATTTCAAAGCTCCCAAAGGAAATTGTTGTCTGTACAGATATTTTCGGTGTTGCCAGTGTTACTTTAATTGGACTGCCTTCATAAGTCATTACTTCTGCTTCAACAATTGTAATTCATCCTTTGCATCAGCCCCTAAACTGACCATTCTTAAAGATAACTGGTGTTCATTTTCATCATTATCCACTTTAAAGCGATAATCTTTGTTGGCCTTTAGTTCACAACTGAAAAGATAGTACTGGGGCCTCAGAGGGCTCATGTCCACATCCATTGAATTTTCTATGGGGTGGTGGTACGCACTTAGGTGGAGAAGGCAGATGGAGGTAAACGACTATGACTCCTGAACAGCCACGCAGGACAGAATCACTTCAGGCCCTTACTTTACTTTTTAATGTTGATGGTTAAGAGTACCTGTGTAGGAACTAGCAGATGACATAATGGTTATGCCGCTGGCCTGACCACGGTTTGAATCCTGGACCTGGAGCTTGATACTCATGCCTGGCATGTGTGTATGATGTCCAAAATCCTGAGAGGAGTATGAATGAGAATGGATTGTGGCATGGCCCATCCTCCTTGGGGGGTGATTTTTTGCTTTCTGTCTCTCTGTCTCTTTCTGTGTCTCTCCAGCAAGTGCACATACCCTATAGCAAAATCTCTCTAAAAAAATAAAAAGTATATATATGTTCTGTTTGTATTGGGTTATCAGAAAAGTCATGACACATTTTTGCATAGCAAAATACCATGATTTTTCCAACAACCCAATATATAAATAGGTAGATAGATATATGCATATATGTGTATACGGGTACATGTCATTATAGCTCTGTTACATTTATGTGTACATACTTAAAGACATCTTATTTTATATATATACCTGTTATATCTATGTATATGTGTGTGTGTGCTCATCTAGCTGCTGTAACTGACCTAAAGGTAGAAGAATCCCATGATTTTTTAGGTCACTTCATTATTTTAACTGTGTATAGTTTATTCTAATCTCTAGACGGTATCAATAAATTTGTGGATTTTCTATGTTTGAGAATTTACTTCAAAAGTTCAGAAACTGTAGACCAAATACATGTTTCAGTTGATTAATTTCATTAACTAGAACTTTTTAAGAACTTGTATATTTTAATTATAGATCTTTGAACCAATTGTGCTTTGATCAGCACGATGATCCATGAATCTTCTGAGGACTTTCTTTTAAATTATTCCTGAATTTTAAAAAGTATGTTTCATTATAATGTTATATTTTTAATTTACAAGTATCTTCATGTAATTTTCTTCTAGTTCAGGCCCCTGAAGCTCATCCAGAAATTCTGGCAACTCATGCTAGTTCTAAAAATACACACGACTGGAAAAAAATGTCAAGCAGAAAACAAAATAGTCATCATAATGAAGCTGATGAAGAATTTTACTTATCTGTTGGCTCGCCTTCTGTTTTTTTGGATGCAAAAACATCTGTATCAGAAAATGCTATTTCATCTATTGCCAAAAAGAGAGAGACTTACACTTTAAAAAATTCAGTAAACACACTTTCTTCAAGTGCAGAGATTTCTCTGAAACCCAAAAAAAGGTAATCTTTTATCTAAACAATATTAATGCTACTTTAAAACTCTTACCTTTTATATTAAAAAATAGTAATTTAGTATTTTTATATGGTTTTGTTGCAAGGATTAAGGAACATTATGCTATTGAAAAATATATTAAATAACAAAGGAACTTCAAAAGGGGCTAGACAGTGGTGCAGCTTACATAGTAAGGTCCTGGGTTCATGTCTTGGGGCCTCTTTGTACATTCCAGGTGTGTATGTATGTGTGTGTGTGTGTGTGTTTATGTGTGTGTGTGTATATCCCTTCAATGTGGACTGATTGAGGCTGGAGGTAAATCATGGCACAAGGATCCTATTGAAGGTATCTATCTCT